TTTGATAGCTTTGTGTGTGGATAGATTCAAACTTAGACCTACCTTGTTGGGTAGAGAGGATAGAGTTTGATAGCTTTGTGTGTGGATAGATTCAAACTTAGACCTACCATTGTTCGGTAGAGAGGATAAAGTTTGATAGCTTTGTGTGTGGATAGATTCAAATTTAAAGCTACCAGTGTTCGGTAGTGGGAATAGTGTTTGATAGCTTATAGCAAAATATTGGAGTATGGCATTTATTACAGGTATCACTCACGTATCCTGAATAATTCAGATAATCATAGATATCCTGCAGTATCCTTGTAAACATAGAGATATCCATGCCAAAGTTAGTGTTAGAATACGTTGCAATAACGATTGCAATTTTAAGAGTAGGGTTTCAAATAGTCTTTCAAAGAAATCAGAACAAATTTTAGGATAAATATTAACAGAATTTCGATTAAAAAATGTAGAATAAAGAATAAAGTTTAAAGATAAAAGAATAGAGAATAAAGATGCTTCCCAGTTCCCATCTCCTGTTACGATAGATCACCTCTGATTAGTTTCCACTTTAATTTTATGAGAACAGTTTCAGACAACCGTGAACATTTCCAGTTTAATATTTAAACAATAAAAGGGTTGAAGCAGTGGAGCTCCGAACCTTGTAAGGTTTGAAGCCAGCTTGTTACAATCTCTTACTTTTTGTTCTTATTTGTTCTGATCAGGTAATTACCGGTTGTCCGACGTTCTATAAATTTAGTTTCGTCTACATCGTAAAAGGCAACGATTTGCGCTGGATGGGGGAAAATATCCTGGGGTAAGGTTAGGTTCTACTCAGGCCTGGTCATCTAGAAGTATATAGGTCAACCTTCCTCAGGCAGAATTCAGGATCCTACACACATATATACAATATCTTTTAATATGCCACTCATAGACTAGTAGGTTGTGGAGGAGTAGGAGGAGTAGGAGGAGAAGGAGGAGGACGAAAGGAGGACGAGAAGGAGGACAAGAAGGAGGAGAAGGAGATGGAGGGAAAGAGAAGAAGAAAGAGGAAGAAGGAGGGGGAATAGTAGAAGGAGAAGGAGGCCGGAGAAGGAGGGGGAAGAGAATAAGTAGGAGAAGGAAGAATAGGAGTAAGAGAATAAGTGGGAGAAGGAAGAGTAGGANCGGAGAAGGAGGGGGAAGAGAATAAGTAGGAGAAGGAAGAATAGGAGTAAGAGAATAAGTAGGAGAAGGAAGAGTAGGAGAAAGAGAAGGAGGAAGAGAAGGGGTATGAGGAGGAGGGGGAGGAAGAGTGGGTGGGGGGCATAAGATTAAGATGTATTGATGAAACCTGAATGCCCTTACCAAAGTATAGAGGAGAGAGTGAACCTTAAGGGCTCGAGAAGAAAAGGGAAAGTTCTGTACATCATGAGAGGAAAGTCAAGTAGGTTAGGATAAAACCTAGGCCAAGGAGAAAGATTGTGATTGAAAATTGAAAAACATTAAGAATAAATGTTGACCACAGTTATTGCTATTGACGGGCATGGGAAAAAGAATGGAAAAAGAGAAAGATAAGTTTAGCCGAAAAATTATAGGATTAGTTAATAACAGAGAAAAGGAGAAGAGGTTAGGTACAGAGTAGGTGAGAAGAGGGTAGGTTAGGTACAGAGTAGGTGAGAAGAGGGTAGGTTAGGAACAAGTGTAGATGAGAAGAGGGTAGGTTAGGAACAGAGTAGATGAGAAGAGGGTAGGTTAGGAACAGAGTAGATGAGAAGAGGGTAGGTTAGGTACAGAGTAGGTGAGAAGAGTGTAGGTTAGGTACAGAGTAGATGAGAAGAGTATAGGTTAGATACAGAGAAGAGGAGAATAGGGTAGGTTAGGAACAGAGAAGCGGAGGAAAGGGTAGGTTAGGAACAGATAAGAGGAGAAGAGGGTTGTTGACGGATGTATAGCAAGATACTCAAAATGAAAGATGTTGAACCCCCGTCCCAAAAAAACGATAACAAAGAATTCTCTTTATTGTAGGTTGGATTCCATGAATCCTTGGATTCCTTGAATCCTTGGATTCCTTGAATCCTTGGATTCCCAGAATCCAAGGATTCCTTAAATTCCTTGGATTCCTTGAATCTCTTTGATTCCTTGAATCCCTTGGATTCCTTGAATCCCTTGGATTCCTTGAATCCCTTGGATACCTTGAATCCCTTGGATTCCTTGAATCCAAGGATTCCCAGAATCCAAGGATTCCTTAAATTCCTTGGATTCCTTGAATCCCTTGGATTCCTTGAATCCTTTGGATTCCTTGAATCCTTTGGATTCCTTGAATCCCTTGGATTCGTTGAATCCTTTGGATTCCTTGAATCCCTTGGATTCCTTGAATCCTTGGATTCCTTGAATCCCTTGGATTTCTTGAATCCCTTGGATTTCTTGAATCCCTTGGAATTCTTGAATCCCTTGGATTCCTTGAATCCCTTGGATTCCTTGAATCCTTTGGATTCCTTGAATCCCTTGGAAACCTTGGATTCCTTTGATAACAAGAAACTTTGGATCCCTTGGATACCCATATACCTTTGATCCCTTGGATCTCTTGAAAGCCTAGGTACATTAAAATTAAGCCTTAGATTACTTGGATCCTTTGGATAAACCTTGGATACACTTTAGTCATTAGAAACCGCCAAAAAATAACCCTGAAAAAAGTTTTCAATAATAAAGTTCTAAATTAATAATTTAGGAAAAGAAGTTCCAGGAATCTAAAACACAGGACTTTATTTCCAGTTAGATACATTTTCTCTGGACTTAGGGAAACATTTTATTTCCAGGCTATTTTCTCACCCAGTTGTTTATCTGTACAATAATAGCACAACCCCGTAAATTAATAAAACATTGTATTTGAACCAGGGGGCGGAAACGTCATGTGTGTGTGTCTGTATCAAAAGAGTGTGTTTAATATACATGTAATATATTATTTACATATTTAATTGTCAACACTATTAACCCAAATTTTCTTGCAAAGAATATAATTTGATTAAAGTTTACAAGTTTATTTAAGTTTAATTATAATTGACGACATTGTTCTGCAATTTCCTTGACTGTAATCATGTTGTGTGTCTGTACCAAAAGAGTGTGTGTAAGGAATACCGAAATCGTCTGCAAAGCAGTGCGACTGGCTTTTTTATGCCAGACCAGCGCCATTTCCTTTCTCTTTATTCCAATTCCTTGATTTGAACAATACTAAATTTATCTTGTTACTGCAGTGCTCGGCTCAGAGATTAAACAACAAGTTTGGCTTACATAAGAAGTTTTTTCAAAATTTATTTAATTCCGAGGTTGCGTGATTGGTGGGAGGTAACAGCGGATTTCTACCGCAGAGACTGTACTAGTTTCTTAGATGAATTTAGATTGACATTCATATATTTTACATGCATTAGTGGGTCGTTAACACAACTTTGCCTGGAATTTTCCCTTTAAAAAGAAACACATCAGATTGAATGTTAGGAATACTGAATACTGTCAAATCCAGTTCAAGAACAAGTTCCACCAAGTTTGCTCCGTGCTTCCCATGTGTTTGTGAGACAGGATTGGTCCGAGCCTACGCTTTCTCCGCTCTACAGAGGTCCTTATTAAGTGATCTCTTGATCTCCCAAGTATTTTTCTCTCCGGATGGGTTCCAAAATAGACTCAGTCTCCGTTGACCAACTGAAACCAGTTATCTCCGAGTTCCCTGTAACCTAACCTAACCCCCTCGCCGAGGTAGACTTCCGTTACCTCGGTAACCTCTGGCTCCGGTACCTCCAACTCCAAGTCTTCCAACACCTCTTTCAACAGCCACAGGTACAGAGATGAAGGTTCGGTTTTCTCCTCCAGTGCCTGCTCCATCATCAGCCCGGAGAAACCTTAGAAGAGTTGTCAGGGATGAACATCTTGTTTCTCTACAGGTTCTCAATATCCTGGGGGGACCACTGTGGAGGATCTAGATTGTCGTCTTCTGTTTCCGGTGCAGAAGCCAAACCAAATATATATTCTGTCATTTTACTTTTACCTCGTTAAGTATTTTATAAATAAAT